CTGCGTGGGGAGCCAGAGAGGCGAGTGCAGTCTGGGACCTGCCAATCGAGCTGGGTTACTGTGACCAGCCACTGATGGAGATAGAGTAGGAGACTCAGGGTGCCATCTTGTGTGGAGAGGCTGAACGCAGAGCTGCGGAGCAACACAGAGGAGGCTCATTTCTGGCTGATCACATGAAACTGGTCCAAGTGGAGAGGGTAGCTGCACTCCATGCAGGGTTGGTGTGGTCCCTGGAGCTGAAAACCAGCAGCCACAATTTTCAGCAGCGTCCCGCCTGGTGCCATCTCAGGTACCAGGGCAGCAAGTGTGGACCCCGAGTGAAGGAGTGAAGGTCCAGAGTGGGCTTGTAACTAGCTAATTGCACTGAGCTGAGCCCACAGCAGCAGCCTTGCAGCCTGCAGGGTCTGTGTGGTCCCTGGCGCTGACGGCCGACAGCCCCTTGATCTTTGTTGGTGCCCCTACGGGTGCCATCTTGGATACTGAGGCAAGTGCTCTGAACACTGATAAACTGCAAGAGGAGGAGCGGTAAACTGCGCAAGTGATAACTCAGTAGCTCTCAGGTATCAGTGTCACAGGACCAGGCACTGTTACACTGAAGGGAGGACAGCTGAGCTGTCCAAGAACTAAGCTGGGAACAAAATCACAACCATCTTGGAGCACTGCACAAGCTCCACAGAAAAAAGAGCCCCAGCAAGGCATGCCACCAACTCCACCCAAAATACCTCCAGGATGTATTCAGACATATCGGCCAACAGGGGGCGGCAAGATCAGTGCTGCCTACAAAATCAGTGCTGCCTTTACAAGTAATAACTGGGCGGGAGGTTTGAGGGGTGGAAGACAAATACATCAGGGGAATGTGGGCTCCCCTGATAGACTCCTAATGCTGAGTGTGAGTTGGAATGGGGGCAGACCAGACCAGGCAGGGCTTCAACACCTGTGGGCCTCATGTAAGCTAGACTGGGGAAAGGCCAGATTGGGCTGACTGTTCCAACTGGTGCAAGCAAAAATTAGAGAGGGAAAGGGTTGGTTGGACTTTGCCACATCATCAGATGGCAGAGGATGGCACTGGGGACTAATATTGTCAAGTTAAATGCAAGAATCATCTGAACAATGCATAATCTGGAAGTTGGAGTGGTTGGAGTGGCCTAGGAGGGAGATAGTGGACACCTCCCTCGTGGGGAACAACTCCCAACTGGACAGCAGAAAAACCAGGACAGGGGCAGTGGTGGCTAAACAGAAAGGTACCTGCCAGTATGTGCGTGGGCTGCATAGTAGGTCGGTTGGGTTGAACTAGGCTTCAATGCCCATTGACAAGTACCAAAGCTAAATGGGATGTGGGACAGACTCAACAAGCCTGTGGTACATACTGGCATGCATGGGAACCAAGCTAGTGAGCAGGCCTGGTTCGGGTTATGGGGAGTCACCCCAAGTAGGCTGCAGCTCCCATTGGTTTGCATGAGGACCAAGTGAAAGTGGGTAGGATCGAGCTAGACTGCAACACCCATTGGTTCAAGTGGAAGACAGGGCTGGAAATAGAAATGACCCAGCAATTGCAACGACCAACATGTGCATAAGCTGACTGAGGCAAGGGACTGTGCCAGACCCTGTGCTGGCAAACTCACACAAGAATCAGGTATGGGATCATCTCAGGTGAACTTTCTTTGGAGATCCTTCCAACTGAACTGTGGATCACAGAACCCAAACAATGAAGACACTGTGTCAGCCAGTGGATTCTGAATAGGTGACATCGAGATTGGAACAGTGAGATTGGCAGCAATTCAGAACTGTTGAACTATCAACACTGTTTGAGCAGGACCCTCGGAGCTTGCCTCACATCGGGGACCTGGGATGGGAGGGAGGCTGCGTGGGTCTTTTCCCTTTGTTTCCTCCTTGACCCCAGATACAGGGGGGGAGAGTGATATTAGTGTGGAAACAATGATATTATCCACTTTCCTGTAGCACTTGACCCTTTGTACCCCAATCAACTAAGTAAGATCATGTAACAAAAATAAGTTAATTGAAACAAAGAACAATGTCCAACTTCTAGTGTTAAAACAAATCTACCAGTACATTCACAATGTTCAATCGGTCCCACTGAAATATAACATTCATTAGCAAGTCGACAATGTATTGACTGTGATCACTCACTGCTGAATGGATTGAAGATACAAGTCTACATGAAACAAGGTGAGTGAAGTAAACATGACCTTACTAATTGGAAAATAAGGAACAAGATTTTGCCCCTACAGACAGGCAGATGAACACTTGGACAAACAACTAAAAGAACTGTCTTAAGAAAATCTGAATTTCAAGAAAACACAAAGAAACACTAGATACCAAAGAAAATTTATACAGAAACTGAAGTAGCATAAGAAGGCATCACTGGCCTGGTGCAATAGTGTAGTGGTTAAAGTCCTTGCCTTTTAAAGTTGCATGTAATATGGGGCACTGGTTTAATCCCAGCAGCCCTGCTTTCCTTCCAGCTCCCAACTTGTGGCCTAAGAAAGCAGTCAATGACGGCCCAAATCCTTGGGAACCTGCACTCCCGTGGGAGAGCTGGAAGAGCTCCTGTCTTCAGATTGGCACAGCTCCAACTGTTGCAGACCCTTGGGGAGTGAACCATCGGACAGAAGATCATCCTCTCTGTCTCTCCTCCTCTCTGTATACCTGAATTTCCAATAAAAATAAGAAATAAATCTTAAAAAAAAACAAAGAAGGCATCACAACCTGAATAATACAAGTAATGAAGTGAAAAGTGCAATAGAAGAAACCAATAGTTAAAATTATGAACAATGAATGAACTCAAAGACAGGAGAATCAAAACTGTAGTACCAGAGAAAAAAGGGATTAAAAGAATAGCAATCATGGGCCCGGCGCGGTGGAGCAAGTGGGTTAAGGTCCTCATCTAGCACGCCCCAGGATCCTAAATGGGCGCCAGTACTAATCCCGGCAGCCCCGCTTCCCTTCCAGCTCCCTGCTTGTGGCCCGGGAAAGCAGTCCAGGACAGCCCAGAGCTGTGGGACCCTGCACCCACGTGGGAGACCAGGAAGAGGCTCCTGGCTTCGGATCGGCACAACACAGGCCGTTGCGCTGACTTGGGGAGTGAATCATGGGACGGAAGATCTTCCTCTCTGTCTCTCCTATCTGTATATCCACCTTTCCAATTAAAAAATAATAATAAAAATAAATCTTTAAAGAAAAAAAAAAGAATAGCAAACAAAATGTCCCCAAAGTAGCAAGAGATGTTTGGGAAATAACACATACTTGTATAACATAAGAGAACTCCAAATGGGCTATCAGTTACTTTTTCTCAGCAGAGGTGAGAACAATGATACATTCCAAATTTTGAAGGAAAAATGTGCCAACAAAGAAGACATCACTCAGAAAAGCAATCTTTTAGAAATTCAGGAGAGATGAAGACAGTTCCACATGAATAAAACTAATGAATTCATTTCTTCTAGATTTCCTAGGCTTGCCTCATGAGAAATTCTAATTCATTTCATCTTACTGGAAGCAAGAAATGCTAATGTTTGAGAGACTTCTTCAAAAAAGTCCATAGAAAATACATAACATAAAAAAATGTGCATGCACTTCATATGTGTGTCACCAAAACAAAATTACTTCATATCCATTTTCCACAAACATTTTGAAGTAATCATGTATAATATAAATTCAGAGGTAAGAATAAACACCATAAAAGCTCACAGGAGTCTGTTATGGTAATCTTAAGACATAATAGTTTTGCATACCCACTAAGCCTTGAGATAAAAGGGAAGACATTGGCATTACTTGAAGCTACCAGGTTGGAATACAGCACAACCAGTTTGGTGCTGGACTTCTTGATTTCCTGCGGGCCTCGGAGATATGCTTTTCAGAATTTTGATGGCACATTACTCGGCACTCTGGGCTCTCTAGCACTGACAATATTGTGGGTTCTGGAAGCTGTTAAACATTTTTGCATGTAGTGTTCATCTACAATACGAAAGCCACTGCCAAAGCGAAATACATACTGAGAGAACATAGATATAAGAAGCTATAAAACAGTTCTGTGGGCCCCGCATGCCAGCCTATTGCTAAATCCTCTCCTTGCATGTGCCAGGATCCCATACGGGCACTGGTTCTAATCCCCACTGCTCTACTTCCCATCTAGCTCCCTGCTTGAGGCCTGGAAAAGCAGGAAAGGATGTCCCAAAGCCTTGGGACCCTGAACCCGTGTGGGAGACCTGGAAGAAGCTCCTGGCTCGTGGCTTCAGATCGGTTCAGCTCTGGCCATTGACGCCACTTGGAGAGAAAACCAGCAGACAGAAAATCTCTCTCTCGGTCTTTCTCTCTCTCTTCTTCTCTCTGTATATTCTGTCTTTCTAACAAAAATAAATAAACCTTAAAACAAAAACCAGTCGTATCAGCCTTGCAGTCATTTCTCTAGCTCCTGCTTTACAAGCAGAAACTTACAGATGGGAATATCAAAAAGGAAATATGATGCAAATTCATTATCTTGGAGGAAAAGCATAATGACAATTGGAAGGAGCATGGGCATGGGAAAGAACAAATGAACCCAAACATAACCCATTTTAGCAGTGCTACTGCTCAGGCAACACGAAGACACTACATTCTATGGAAAACAGACCAGCAACAATTTCTGAAATAATGAAAGTGCAAATATATTCAGTTTTACCTTTATTTAACAGTCTATGATCTTGTAGCATAATGAAGCTTTTGAAGTTCCAATAAGTCTTTCACATGTGCAATGACATTTGTTTCAGGCAGTAAAATTTAACACATGCAACAGTCCATTACAAATTGGAATAATTCTGTTGAGTTGTGCATGTTTGTTCTTTCTTATGTGAATTCTGAGCATCTTCTTATAGGAATTCTGAAAAGCCCTATTTTTCCTTCATAGATCAAGTTTGAACAATTACACTATATTTCCTTAGCTACATTTTTCACTTTTGAAACATTTAAGCTTGCTACTTTTTCTTATGTACCTTTTGCACTAATGCTTAGTTTGTCTTTGGTAAGTCTGATTTTTGTTCTGGTGGTTCTGGTGTATCTTCTTTTTTCTGAAGTGGAGAGCAAATGAAACAGCAGCAACACAGAATCAAAACACAGTTTAAGAACACCAAAAAAGGAATCCAAAACTTAGAAATTCCACGGTCAGGCTCACGTTTTTGCGCAGTTTCCTCATGTTTTTGCTCAGGGGGTGGGCCACTATCGATACTACCTCCATTTCCTTTTGTCCTGCAGTTTGGTGGGGCCCACTTCTTGCCACAGTGACAGTGATGTTTACTGTTGCATATTCCATGCATGTTGCACATTTCAGGAATGCACTTACTATCCCAAACTGGCTCAGGGACACACCTCCTGTGAATGCACACCCGCTGTTTACCACACTCTGTTCCATCTTTCACATCACCAATATCAAGTGCAGTCATCCCAAAGTGGTAGTCGACCCCCCAGCAGCTGTGACCAGCGAAACGAGTTATATGCACAGTAGAATGACTTGCTAGTGAGGGAATTTCTGTCACGTTCTCACACTGAATTCTTCCACACAAAATATCGGCAATAGCACATGCTCTATATGCAGTTGTGGTGGTACCACAGTTACCAAAACGGTCACCACGGGTGTTCATTTCTCTATAGCACATCTCATTTGCACTCCTGGCTTTCTTGCCAAAAATTTTCCGGCACTGTTCATCACGGAAATTACATCTCTTTTCATAGCAGTAACCCATGCCCAAGCAAGGACTTCCATCCTGTACATACACATCATCTGGACACTCATGCCAAGTTCCATTGCACCACTCTGGAAGATCACATTCACTACCTTGTTCTCGACATACCTGGCCTGATGGCACAAACTGGCAGTCCTTACAACAACTGCCAAAAGCACAAGAAGCCCCAGGTACCAGAGTGCAGTCTGTCGAACAACAGGGATCATTTGTACAGGATCCTAAAGACCCACAGTCACATTTCTCTTCTTCTTCAACAACAGCATTTCCACAACGATGTTTTGTGAAGAGAGACTCTGGATTTGGAGGGCTGCGCATACAGTGCGTTCTTATAGAGTATCCCCAATATTGAGCATAACTGCAGTTGCTGAATTTTGTTGCGGCTGATGCAGTTGGATACATTATGCATACTCTATCCTTACATTTACAGGTTGCAGTATCATGATATATACCCAAATTATGACCAAGCTCATGTGCCAGAATGTATGAAAAGCTAACCAGTGCATCAGTCCTGAAACTATTAACTGCACAATTATAAAATGAATTACACACTGTTCCAACATAGGCCAATCCAAGATATATACCAAACCCAGCCTTTATTAAAAGATGAACAACATCATGGGGCATACGAATATCTAGATTAGATCTCTTCCATTTGCAAAATTCTGTTAGGAAATAACTTATGTTTGCTGGTGGTATGGGATTCCCTTCATTCCAAATTTCTATTCCAGGTAAAAACAATTCCACGTCCATATGCTCATAAACAGAATTAAGCAGATTTATAAGCTCGATTACTTCATCTTCCACAGCTGAGATATTACTGCCCTTATGAAAGAATCGTTCTTGGTCTACAACCATCGCAAGTTCTATAAACCATCGATGGGTCCACCAGCCCTGATAATCACTTTGCATCAGAAAGGGATTATTAGGTTTATGCTTCTTCAGTTGCTGTGCTATCTCTTCTTCTGTTAATCCACAAGTCATAGTATCCTCACTGTCCACCTTATAAACTAGATGTTCAAATTTGGAAGAAAACGGTTTTGGCTTGATCTCATAAATAGTGTCATTTATCTGTAACATCCCTTGAAAGCCCCCAAAACAGGTGCTAACAGCAACCATGGATTCTGGGTCTCCTTCCACATAACCATGATAGTAGCATCCCTCCCGCACAAAAGGCTGGTCCTTAATGAGAGCACCTTGGTCTGAGTAGGTGAAAATGGAGAAGTGTCTGGTTATCACATTCTTCTTGACTTTCGTGTGGAGGATGTATCTGTGGCCTGCAATTTGCAGTCTATAGGAGAGCCAGCCTTTAGTCTTCATATCTTTCTCAGTGCCAGTTACCCTCAAGGGTATTACCACTTCTGGGTGGCTGTGATGTTGACAGTGCCCAGTCTGGAGCCACCCAGAAAGTAAGAAAAACTCCCCCACCCACAGCATCAGCAGACTGATTCTCATACACGTCATGACCTCAGCCAGGGACATACGAAGCTGTATATGAGAGCAGAGGAGAGGAGGGCAGGAGGCACTGCTGGTCTGTCTGCCGTTTGTGGTGATTCTCTGCAGCCTGACCTTTAATGGTGTGTTTCTGGCAGAGTCAGTGCATCAGAGTAGCAAGCTGTAAAAAGTAAACAAAAACGTAGAGACAGAAGTGGTGTTAGGGTTAGTCACACATTTAGGGGAAAGAGCAGAGTGTGGGTTAAACTTTGCTCAACATATGAATCAGTACATTGCACTGGATTTGTTCTCAAACATTGCTGAGGAACAGTCAGAAAGCACATTAAGAAATGACAATTTGCCTCTGGTTGATAATTAATACAACTAATGAAAGACACATACATTTATTATACTGTTATTCAAATAAACAGATGTATGACATTTTTGCTACAACTTTGAAATAGAAGGATCTCAAGGGAAAGGTAAGCTTATTTTGCTCCTTCTTCATGACGGAAACTTACATGCACTGACTTGTAATAAATATTAACAGTTTTTCCTTTTAATTTCAAATACTGTATCACTCACATTTCTCAGGAGTGATTAAAACAAACCTTTTATCCTAGTCCTTAATACATATCTTTATGCTACAAACCATTATCCAGCCTATCTTCATCTAAACTTGCAAACGTCAGGGTCCAATCAATACAATCATTCCGGTCTGGTGTTGTAACACAGTGGATTAAGCTGCTACATTCAGTCCTAAAATCCTGTATCTGCACTAGTTTTGAGTTCCCGGTACTCTGTTTCTGAGTCACTTTCCTACTAAAGAGCCTAGAGAACATAGAACATAGACAAAAACATTACACAACTGTGGATCACTCAGTATGAGTTTCTGGCTCTTAGCTTTGACCTAGTTCAGGTGAGGAGATGCTATCTGGGGAGTGAAAAAAAAAAAATGGATGAAAGAGTTTGCTCCACCTTTCAAACAAAGAAATCTTACAATTACTACTGTCTACTTATATATAAGGGGTATATATTTGCTCAATTACACCAATGGAGTAACTTGGAGCTCAGATGTTAAAAGTGTTTGTATTTCATTATATTTGTAGGGGGAAATGGTATGTTTCAAAGACTTTGGCAACATGAAATGCAACTGCAATGAAACTAACTGGGTCAGTAATATCCGGAAATGCGAGACTACTGAAGGCAAAATAAAATACCCTTTTAAATGAAAAGGTAATCGGTGAACCTCAACGAAAACAACAGTTTGGAAAAATAATACTGAATTGCAGCAAAGGCCTGGCTATTACAGGATCATAATGTACCAAACCACTGGTCTTGACCTTCAAGTGTATCTCTCTTATAAATAAAAATACATACGCAGAGCTCATATAAAGCACGGATCGTTTTATCTTGATTGCAAGATATATTGTCTTTTTCACCACAATTTTTTTTTCAATTATGGAATTTTCCTTCCCCCCCCCCAAAAAAAATAACCGTTTTCTCTAGACACATTAAAAAAGAAACCATAATCCTAACAAAAAAAAACCTCCATCTCAACAATTGTGAAGCTCAATGGAGTGAAAGCTTTCCATTTTCAAATTTCCCTTATTCCATACAAATCAGACATTTTGTTATCAGAGCGTTAATTACCAAAATCACTGAAGTGATAGGCACCATCTTATCCTGTCTGTAATTATGTTTCTCCTTACTTATACCATTCACACAAATCAATGCCACAGAAACTGAAAACTACAGACTTTACAACTTAATGTTCTCCAATAACCTTACCCACACTCTCACTGAATTTGGTAAATATGTACAACCTGTGTAACAACAAAATTCTCATTTTCAGGTTTATAATTTGTCTTAAAACTTCTTGGTTATTAACATAAGGCCATGACTACTACACAACAACCCCCATCATCTTTACTTTCATTTGTTAGTCTGTTGAAGAAAATTTTAATGCTAACTGCAATTTACTCCTGAATTCATGATAGATCCTTACACATTATCCTACTCTTCAATTTACCAACACTTTGCCTTTTGATCCCTGGAATCTAGCTATGAAGTTCACGAATTCAACTGCTGTTGATCAAAATCCTTAATTCAATCTAGAAAAAGCCTTTTGTCTGATTTTTTTCTTCTACAGTATAGTGTCAATGAACATGGGGAAATAACATAGTCTAATCATGGGGATGCCCAGCATGTTAACACACAGAGAGATAGAAACTCTTATGCTGAGACTTCAGAATAAACAATGAAATACAGTTATTTTCTTAATTTAGACCTTTTTGTAATTTAAGCTTTGCTATCCACATTGATTCTTTTCTTACGATATATTTTCATTAATTTAACAATTTTGAAGAATTTTACCACAGCATGCATAAAACCAGAGCAAACAGCATTACATCGCTGGGGGTATATTTAATGTGACATGTGGGATCAAGTGAAGATTAGAGTGTCCATATATATGAATTAATCATGACCTTTTCTTTATTTAATTATTTCATTCTATGAAACTTTGTTCATAGGCTCTGGGATTCCTTCAAACCCTCCCCAAACCCTCCTCCCACCCCATATTGAATTCCTCTATGTTGTTACAGTTGTACAGTTCATAACTAATCATGATTCCTTCGTTGCGGGCATGGACCATGCAGAGACTCCAGCATCTTATTGTCCAGATAAATTCAACAGCTTCATTGGGAAAGCATCCTTGGTCTGAAATTAGAGCTGGCAGAATATCATCCCCTCCAATGAAAAGCCACTACACAACTTCAGCAAGAATTTACAACATCATGGAGTTAATTGACATGGTATTCAGTGACAGTATGTTAGAAAATGCGAGTTCTTAACCACATCCTGTGACTACTTCAATGACATCTTGATTTTAGTTTATATACAACTGGCTGCTTTATACCTTAAAATGGTTATAGAGTACTATTCAGCTGTCTCATCAACAGGATGAGGATTTTCCGTTGAAAATTAACACTGCCTTTTGTTTTCAACTTCCTATTGCTATCAAAATTAAGTAATCATTGTTTAAATTGTAAAGTCCATAATTCTCAATTTAATGCAAGCATTTTTTTTAAGATTATTTATTTATTGGAAAGTCAGATTTACAGTGAGGAGGAGAGACAGACAGGAAGATCTTCTGTCTAATGATTCACTCCCCAAGTGAAGGAACGACCGATGCTACCCCAATCCGGAGCCAGGATCCAGGGACTTCTTCCAGGTCTCCCACACAGGTGCGGGTCCCAAGGTTGAACCGTCCTCAACTGCCTTCCCAGGCCACAAACAGGGAGCTGGATGGGAAGTGGAGCTGCTGGGATTAGAACCGGCACCCATATGGGATCCCGGGGCGGGTTCAAGGAGAGGACTTTAGCCAACAGGCCACGCTGCCAGGCCCAGAAGCAAGCATTTTCTTAGTCTTTGCTTTATCATTGTAGTTGAGTGGTAGGGAAGTCAACTGGCTGTGAACATTTTTCTCATGATTACCAGCTCATTAGTTGTAATCCAATAAAATAAAGAGTAAAAACACAAAATGTGAAGAGCCTACAAGAAGAAAGTTTGCTCACTAGAATATGGCTGTGAGGAAAAGCTCAAATGTCTAATTCTTGAAACTTTTTACATTCACTTCTTTATGAGGCAGAAAGACATTCACACACAACATAGTGATTGGCAGCACAGAGCCAGACAGCTCTCCCATTATTTGGTCACACTCCAAATGCCTGGCCAAAGCCACAACTTATGAACGAGCTGACGAGGTCTTCCATTTATGTGAGGTCCAAACTACCTGAGGCATCTATCTTTCGCAACACCAATATGTATTAGCAATTACTGTATTAATCTAACTCATAAAGGGACCATATTTAACCATGATAGATTTAATATCTAGGTATGATTTCTAGGATTGTCCTAAAACTCAACACAAAAAGAATGGATTAAACAGCAATAACTTACAGACTTACAGTTCTGAGGGCTGGCATAATCTCGCATTGATCTAAATAACAGGTGGTATTGGTGGTTTTCTGTATGTGGCTATTCTTACATTCATCACTTACAAGTTTCTAAGCAAGGACCCATTCCTGTCTCCTCTATTGGTTCCTGGTGGTTTCTGTGATCCATACCAGAGTAACATCAATTTTTTTAAATTAATTTTATTGCATATGTGACACAATGTTAAAGGCACTGGGATTCCTCCCACCCCTCCACAAACCCTCTCCCCATGGTGGATTTCTCCACCTTGCTGCGTTACCACAGTTCAAATTCAGTTGAGGTTCTTTCGTTGGAAGTATTTACCAAGCATCTTATTATCCTAGTGGGTGCAACGATTTCTTGGTGAGACCACCTCAGGTCTGAAGATAAAGCCGGCAAAATATCATCCCAATCAATTAGAAGCCCCGACATAACATCAACAACTATTTACAACCTTATGGCATTAATTGACATGGTATTGATTAACAATATGGTAATAGGAAAATACGGGTTCTTAACTACATCCTCTGACTTCTTCATAGACATTTCAATTTTTGGTTTGTATTCAACCCGGATCACATACACCTCAAAATGGCTATAGATTACTATTCAGCTGTCTCGTCTATTTTTTAGTATTTAGCTGTTTATCATCAGTGGAGGTACAGAATATTTTTTT